CGACAAAGATATAATCATTTAACATATTTTGGTAAATGGAAACGAATGACAAGCAATTATAGTCTAAATTTAACCAAGGGATGCTATTTATTTATACCTGTAAATCTTATCTGTATTGTTGAGTATTTTGTAATTTACATTCCAGTTTACCGATATGTTTGTATAGTACAACAGTCACAATTAATTGATGTAAATTAATTTACGATGGAAAGCAAATACATGTGCACACTATGTAAATGTAAATGATAAATATACTCAATAATACATATAAAACACAATGAAGTTGATAAATATACTCATACATACATATATTAATTCAGTCATTGGTATTACATTGGGTGGAAAATTTCAGTTATGTGGACACAAATTATACTGCTTACTTAAAAAACAATTGGGGTTTTATTCCTACTCATATATTTCTTATTTAAAACTGCTCTTAATGCTATAATATATGCAGAAATGTATCGGGTTTACGTCAAGTATTATCCAGTCAGCTAATAGACAACCTTATTAATTGTCAAACCACCCGGCGGATTTATCTAGAACCTTAAAAAGACGACCACGAGTTCAAGTTAACAGCTGTCGTCTCCGTTATAGAATTACGTGTATAATTATGATATCAACACCTACCCAGATATATACAGGGAAGTCTTACCTTAACTTAGACTTTCTTGTTTTTTAATATAAATATGTAAACATTTTATTTGAATGCGAAATCCATACTCAACCAGATCTCCAGGATGTTTGCTTAAGGTTATCTCGGTTATCGTGTCACGATAATATCATAGAGTAATGGAATAAATGACTATAAATAGTTACACTTTTAATGAGATGATTAAACATGTATATCCGCAGGACTTCGTTCTCAGAAAGCTTTTCGTTTATAAGAAATTTAATGCTCGACGAAGTCCTATGTGTCATATTGCATCACAAACCTGTCGTATTTTCCCATGTTACCAGCAAGACACAAATTATAAGCCGTCTGTCGCCAATACACGGCTGCTATAAGTACATCGAGTACATCGAGTACATCGAGCCAGCTGTTGGCGTCGAGCCCATCCCATATATGGATACAGAATAAGAGATTAATCTTAATATATGAATGTCGGTATCGCTACATGACCATTACACTGAATAAACAGTCCGGAGTCTTATTAGTGACTCATTTGAATGGACAGGATATAATCAAACATTTATCAACATAATATATACATGTAGTGTTAAAATGCCAGTATAGAAGCTCTTCCAGATCCAGAAATTAAACAGCATATGGTACAACGCACCTGTCTTATAAGGCGTTAAATTATCCGCCAATAGTCCGCAATACACAACTCTATTGAGCCTATCTGTCGCAGATGACAGGTAGCTATTCCCATTTTGTTCAGATATACCAAGCTAATTAGTGGGTATAACGTATATCATCTATTTGATTTCAAGAATAATAGAAGGGCTGGGTCATTTTTCCCCCTTCAATCATTTGCTCCACACTTATTATCTTTGTCAAAGCAATATGTTGGTCCTGTTCGAAGTACACATTGTCTTGTGTTGTCTACATCATCTAATGACACAGAGTTATTATTATCAGACCATGTTTGGATTTTCATATGTCGCCCCAAATCAACACCGATGAGTCCTAAAAGGAAAAGCAAACTGTATTGTGAAGTATATTTTATTAATTGCATACTGTATCTGTTACAAAATGTTCAAGGTTCAGTCCAATGTGTGTGTCGTAGATTCATCTTTCAAAATACAGAGCGGTATACTCTGATCGTTGAACCATGATGGCCACAGTGATCTCATTTGAGTGGTAAAATGGTTTATAAACTTGAAATTAACCACTACCCCTGCATTTTGGTTTTGCTTTTATATAACTGATTGGTTTTACATGTACTGTACGTTGTGTCCTAAACCTGAATCACAGTTATTGTGATATATATGTACCATCTAACGGCATTGCCAATATATATATAATCTTTCCCTAATTCAGTTGGCATTCATATTCCGATTATTGGCGTCACCATTATTTTGACGTCATAATCGTAGCGTTGGATTCCACTGACTCCTCCCCGGGCAATAGCTCTTCTATTCATTAAACAAGCATACACGATACATACATTTTTTGAACTAAACGCTGAATAATATTATTATTGATTTTTTATGAGATGAACAGATTCCAAAAATGGTAAATATAAGTATTGAACTGCTTTAAGTTGCCATTCATAAGGGCAATATGAATGCAAAATGAAAGCAGTTAAATGCATAAATGCTCCTAAGTGTGTTAACACTTTGTGTTTTTTAAGAGAATAGCCAGGGAGTATACAAAGAGTAATGTTTTAATAAAGCCAGAAAGAGTTTTATATTCTCATGAGGTTTCGAGTATATCTTAAAGATATACGGACTTCGGCAAGGATGTTGATATAGATCATGATGAGTTCTTAGAAGTTAGTGTTCTTTACACCAGATGTTGCATAGCTTGTACGATTTTAAACAATCTTCTTGTTGCTGTAACTCAAACCTCACATAATGATAGGGTTTAAAAATGATATATGTAGATAAAGTTAACACCTTGTTTAGAGTTTATTTCCATGAGCGAAAATTCGAATTATTTAGCCAGTTGTACATAGATTATAGAGTAGTTGGAGGAAAATTGCTCTTTAATTGATAACGTACATGCAGATATTTCCCGCGTGTACTTAAGATTTTACCGAAGTAACACTATCTGTCTATTGTACTTAACAACAGCTCAAAGTTCATGTCACACGCAGTCTTCGTGCATTAAAGACATAACTATATGATACACCTCAAATCAATCTGTCAGCTCATTTTTTGAGATTTTTTAAAGTCTTTCTATAGAAGCCTCAGGACAACCAGACCAGACAGTGTTTTTTGGAAATAATTGATGAAATATGAGTTGAGCAGGACAAACTGTCATCAATATTGGTACCAAGTTATTTCTCACCACGTATCGGGGCCACGGTTTCTCCCCTTAGTTTAAGATTGAGGCTTTGATTTAGTTTCCCAAGTTAGAACGGTTCTCCATACCCTTAATTTGATGCCCCGATGGATCACTATCAATTCTAGACATGCAGATTTTTTTTATTATTATCTGTACACAAACAATATTTAATTTTCCCTATGTACAAATGTACTGATAAGTGAGAAAACGTGACCCAGTAATGCAATCCTTTAACAACACATCTTTATTTTGAAAAATGCTGATAAATTACCCCCCTGGTTTATAGCAGAGCTTGAATTACAGTGTAAAATTTTGACCCAATTTCTGATATCGTTTCCAAATCCAAAATATCTAAGTACTTCGTCTATGAATTTCCAAGAGACAGAATCGAAAGCCTTTTCAAAATCAACCATTAATAACATTCCAGGGATATCATTTTCCTCTGTATATTGCATAATGTCATAAACCAGGCGAGTATTTTCTCCTACATAGCGTCCCGATATAAATCCTGATTGATCAGAGTTTATAATTTTTTGTAAAACTNGGAGACAGAATCGAAAGCCTTTTCAAAATCGACCATTAATAACATTCCAGGGATATCATTTTCCTCTGTATATTGCATAATGTCATAAACCAGGCGAGTATTTTCTCCTACATAGCGTCCCGATATCAATCCTGATTGATCAGAGTTTATAATTTTTTGTAAAACTAATTTGAATCTCCTTGTTATTGATCCAGAAGCAATTTTGTAATCATTATCTCTTATTTATTTTGGAAATAGATGAAATATGAGTTGACTGGACAAACAATATCTAATTTTCCCTTTGTACAAATATACTGATAAGTGAGGAAACGTGACCCAGTAATGCAATACGTTAACAACACATCCGTCTCAGTCTTTCTATCAGTAATGTATACCCCGGTGGAGGCCCCACGCCAAAGTATATCTTCAAAGTCACTCACGTTGTTACTCAGTTGTCATTTAGGTGTTATTGTCCTAATGCCTTTGTTATACTTGACATTGAAGGTGGTTGTTTGTGACTCGATACATGGAAGAAAAAAAGTGCGATCGTTATCATAAACGCATTTGTGAAAGTTAATGCATAGTGTTTTATTGTCAGTTGTAAATCAGAATGCATGAGCAGTAAAATGCTTTATAATTTATATCGAGCATTTTTATTCATAGCGAGAATTGTAAAATATATACGTACATTTAACTTGGATTCGTCTCTTTTGATTGCTTTAAAACGTAACACATTTTTAATCAAAAGTCGATTTCACCTTAATTCACCTGAACAAATTTGATGCTTATAATTTGATATTGTTTGTAACGCGCTTTTACATTGGTAAGCGTTTAAATTCTATCAAGTGATAGAACGAAAAAAATGAGAACATATTAGGATGACTTCATAGACAAGTGAAACGGTTTTCCCAAAAAAGTATTCACCTGTCACACTTCACACTTGAATACTTGTCTGCACGCACGACTTTTGACATTATAATCGACTTTATAACAGATGACTTAAAAATATGAATATTTATCATTACATTGTCCTGACAACCAGTGAATATCCATGCATGTTTATAGCGTCATTATTTGAGAGAGAGTACCTGATGGAAGCTTCGGCTCAGCTAGTTGGCGTATCATACCACACGGGTGGGGAATTTAATATACGACATTTGATTGATTCAGAGAAATCATTCCGGCAGCATTTATCAAAATGCTGTCGTTGTAAATAAACATGACCTGTTTAAACGTTTCCCGTTGTAATTTTTAGAATTAAAAGAAACTATATAGTGCAGTGTGGTGTTTCGTGGAAAGTCCTTGATTACCACCATTAGCCATGGCTTTATTATCGCGGCATAGATTAGAGACTTAGGTGTATTTAGTTTCTTAAAAGGGTAGTTTGATTGACGTACTATCCAGAAAGTATCCACCTATCATCGATCAGCTTAACCAAACCACGCCCATTGTTAACCGCTCTGATGTTGTAAACAGCATATACACTATATACCGGCTGGTTAATATGCCAGTCTACCCGGAACAGAGAACATGTGGTGATTCACAGCTTTGCAAGAACTCTTTCTGCTTGAAGTTACATGAACTAACTTGATATGTACTAATAGAACAGGACAAGTCTGAAACTGACTTTCATGAGGAATTACCAGCCGGTGTATGTTTAAGAAAGGACCTGTACGGTAACACATGACACGATATCTATTCAAGGTAAGTGTGTGCACTGAGCTTATACATTATAAATGACCGTATCCTTAAGAAAGTTGTTTGTTGAATTAGCTTTACAAATAATATTAAATGTATAGATATTAAACTCACATAAATAAATGTTATATTACATTAGATGCCACAATACATGATTCATGTTTGTCAATTATCACATTCAGTGAAAGATTTAGATGTCAAGTTGTCCGGAGTGTGTAAAGGGGGATAACTCTTCGTGAACACAAACACACGCCATTTGACAGTCCTCCGGCATCATGCGTTTTGTCAGTTTTATGTTGAAAGAGTCACACATTATCTATATGTTGGTGTTTTTTTCAGAAATAAAAGCGATGGCAATACTGGAAAGGCCTGTTTATTCCACTTTGAAATCTGCATTTATTACCTCGGGTGATTCATCCAAAATATGTGAAACAAAATCTGCAGCCAATCAGCAGTATATTAAAGAAGATTATAGTTTTAATACTGAATCGGATAGTAAAGACAGTTTCTTGATGCCAAATGCCAGCAAGCTTCCGAAAATTATATCAATATCACGGACTGTCGTTCGTACAAGTAGCCGCCGTCAACAGGAAATCAAAACGAAAGAGAAATGTAATAACAAAAACCCGAAGAAACCAGTTCACCAATCATTTCCGCTCAAAGTTTATCTTCCGATTAAGTCGATGTTAGTCACAGCACTGTTGTTAGTGCAATGCTCGCCATCTACTGCTGCTACACCACATATAAACTGGCAAGACATCTTTCTCGGTCACGAAGACAACATATGTATATTTACCGGATGCATCACCTTTCGTGATACTGGACAAATAGAAGTGATATCGGCCAACAATGCAACTGGTCAGACTCGAGATGCTCTTGTTGTTAGTGGACAAATAATTGGGTCACGGGAAACGCGTATAATCAATGGACATCCCACAAATGAAAATGTTTCAAATCAGGATACCGACACTGAAAACACAGACGGATTAGAGGTTCAACGGAAAGGAGAAATCGAAGAAGGAAATCGTGAGGATATATCAAGTAGAGGTGAAAGGTCTAATCACGAGTTAGTTATTTCAGATCAACGTTTTTCCTCACACCCATCACGCCTGATCGATGCACAGAATTTAAATGAAAACGTGAATGCATCAACAGACGACAATGTGATAAATGGTCTCGGTGTGTTAGTCATCAGTGGGCAACATCATTGCGATGACCGCATGGCATCTGCACGTTGTGAACTAGTTTCTACCAACGTTTCTGACAACAACGAACGATTCATGGAACAAGTCGAAATACCTAGTAAAGACACATCGAACAGAACTAGTGTACTCGTCATAACAGGCCAAAATGTTCATGCTAGTGAGCGCGAGATGATTGCCATAACAGACCACGTGACACGGGATCAAACAAATACGGCGGTTGGCCTTGATAGCCCGACAGTTTATGACAATAATGAGAGTGGCATGGATAATAATCAACGTGTGGCATCTACACGTAATGAACTGGTTCTTATCCACGTATCAGACAACAACCAACAGTCTGATACAATACCTAGTGAAGACACATCCAACACGCCAGGTGTACTCGTCATCACGGGCCAAGCTTTCCTTATTAATGAACGCGAGAGCATCGCCATTACAGATCGCGTAACATGGGATCAGACTTATATGAATGTTGGCTTGTATCATCCTACAGATGAAAACAATGAAGCACCGAACGAGCAGCATGGAGAACTTGCCATCACTGACCGTACCCGTCAGCCCATTTTGGCCACTGCTGCGCACCAGCTTCTGGTCACCGAACATACCCACGTAATGGACTTACAATGTCCGACCAACCAGCGGGCAGCTGTTACCGTAAGCGAGATAGCTGTAAGCGGGCAACACCAGTTGCCAAACTTGATTAGACCACCGGTTAACTCGAATTCTATGACAACAGTGGGAATTAATGTTAACGACCCTGTTGCCCCTCATAACAATGGAACTGAAATCAGCGATTAACGTTTAAGAAGTTTTTAAACATTCAGAAATAGATGTGATAACGAAACAAATGCAGATTCCGGGAAAGAATAAGCTTGCTGTATCCGACTGCATGATCGTAAGAGGCGACTAATGGCCAACCAATGCAGAATTGGGAATTGTTCTTGGCTGAACAAATATAACTGTGATAATCAGGTGGAGGAGTGTTACAAAATGTGTTTCCTAGCGATCATATCTTCAAGGTATGTACAGAACAGGCGACTGGGCGATAACGACGTACAAAGCGAAGGCAGTATTATTGTATGCTTCTCACAAAAATCTTTAAATATCGATTAACTAATAGTAACTATATATTACCCTTTTGTATAAACGTTTTATTGTTTTGTTAAAATCATCAAATGCTGATTGACACTACCATATACTTTTTGAACTTATGCCATTATTTTGAGAATGCAGAATTGCCGTTATCTCCAATTAATAAAAGACTGAATGAAGAGACGACTTGAGTACTCAACTTTCTTTTTCCTAAAGTCTGCCTTGACAATGCCTAACTGTTAGCATTTAGTTGAGCGTTCTGTGATGAAGGCGACTGGTTATCGCCCGTTGTCAGTATAATGTGACCGGCTGGGGTGTCCTGCTGGGTGTGTTCGGCACACATAAGAGTTTTTACCCGCTGCCTGCATGTGCAGTCCTGACATACCATTTTATCGCCACGGCATGACTGGTTTCAGTTTTACTGGTATTTTTCAGTTAAAGCAAATAAAAAAGAATTAGCATATATTATATCAATGTATCAAACAATTTGTCTTTAAATCGAAATACATTACTAGCAAGTGACCGGATAGAAATACGAAATATAAAGTATCACATTCATATCAAAATCAGCAGTGCAATTGTAAATGAATAATGCTTACGGGGAAAGTATAAACATATATCTTGAAGTGAGTCTATGTTCAGGTGTATTTGTGAATTGTAAATGAATAATATTTAAAAGGGTGGTATATATATCACGATGAGTGATGGTCATGTGTATTAGGTAATCTATATCACCATACGTGACTCTGTACAGTGTAATGCACATAAATGTTAAAGCGGCTCCCTTTGTTAGAATCCATTCTTATACACATATCAATAAATCTGTTATCAGACAGGATATCCTACTTCCATAATTAGCACAAGGAAATTATATCTTCTCGTGTTAAACACATGAAGGGAATACATGTAGTTTAGCTATCTTTACTCAATGTAGTAAAATGATGCGTGAGGAATGCTGTTGATGACTTCGCTCTGTAAAAACATGCCGAACCCTCCAAAATGTAAATTATGCCTTTTCAGGACTTAACACATGACAAACGAGCAAAATGCGCTTTCAAAACTCTTTTTATGGACATTTTGTTTATTATGAATCTGATCTGAAACAAGACAAGGTAACACAAATGTTTTTCGAATCATTGATTCCTGTCATGTTGATCACAAAGCAAACTCGTAGCGCATAGTTATAATATGAAGAAACAGGTAACTGATAGATACCACCTGGTTGGGATTTGTTCGTTTGAAAATATGATTTGTTCGGGAAATGTGACAACTTTCAGCATCAAATTACCTGTCTCTATACCTCTTTCTTTAAAAGTCTGCCGTCCGATACCCGTGCTGTTGTTCTCGAGCCGTAATCCAATCTCTCAGACTGTTTCGTCATTCACAGCTACTAAATGCTAAAGGATTATATGCGTTTTCAATTACATTAAACATATCAAAATACCAGGGGAATCATTTCCGTGAAACACTTAACTACATGTGTAAAAGAGACCATGGATTTGGCTTTTACTCACAAATGTACGCAGTGCTGGGATATAACTACGTTAATATTGTGTAAAACGATAAGTGATGTCGGTAAAGGATCTATATCTTGCTTTGGTGATCAATACAATATACAACCAATTACACAATACTCATTCGCATACCACCCCTTTAAATGGAAGCTCGTTCTCCTTTAACATATTCAGAATTAGAATTGTCCACAGGTAAAAACTTATCAGCGGTTTAGGGTTTCGTTTTAAATAACAATAACATAAAAGAGCAATCACTTATTACGAGATAAATTTTCCTAACCGCAACACCGACAGCAGATAATTTGGTGTTGATATAACTAAATGAAATTTGATAGTCTAAGAACTATTTGAATTGCATTCAATCAGATCTATGAACCTCATTGCATTGTTGATTTTTGGCCTTACTCGTAATACCCTGAATGAATGTCTAGATAAAAAAAACACAAATCAACCACTCCTCCACTCCGCCATCAAGTTGTTTTGGCGGTCGTATGTGTCGATCTATTAGTGTATCCTTATGAGGTGGTCTCATTGTGGTGGTTTAGCAGCCACAAAAGAAAGTTCAAATCTGTATTTGTCGTGTCACGTAAGTAGTTACTGACTTTTTAAATTGGTCATGGTTATGTAATTCTCTATTTTATAATTCAAAACGTCTCTGTGGTTGAGGCACAGGTTTAATAATTCTTTTAACGTGCATTTCCTTCTGGACCTCTTTCACCTTCCCGATATCTTATCATCGACAAAACGTTTCTGTAGTGTATTTATTTCGTATTGTCTTATAACATGTTTCCCCTATAACATCAATACTTGATCAAGTGTCAAAATAGAAACACGAAAAGGTTACACCTGTATTAAAAGCTGGCTAGTGATCGTTGTCTCGTACATGTAACTATTTATGGGCTATTTATGGACATCGAGTTTGTGGACAACTCGTTCACATTTTACACCTTTGTGTGCATACGCTTCACTGGTCATTTGTCGGATGAAGGTGACAGTGTACATAATCATCGTACTAGTTATCGAAACGTCACATAGAACATTTTATTGGTTGTGTAAAAAAATATATTCATAATCCATTGTTACCAACCTGAAGAAAATGTTTAGAAATATTTATAGGCCTATCTCTGTTTGATGAGTTGTTTCTCAGAAAGTTATGCCTATGATGTTATCAATATCTGTATAACGATGATTTACTTACTGAATGTCAGTATGGTTCAATACCTGAGAATTTTTACTGAGATTGTACAAAATTAGTTCACAAAAGGTTTCATAACATAGACAAAGGTAGAGTTACCGGCACGTTATTTTGAGACCTGTGACAGGCATTTGATAATGTTAATCATAATAATGTGTTCCACCAACTGATATCTTATAATTGATAAGTATTTAAGTATTTTTTTAGTTTATACCTAACTGGGAGGACCCAATTGTTGTATTAAAAAAATACAGTCTTGATTCCCCTAGTAGAGGGCACCAAAGCAAATCCCCAATTCTGCAGGGGTTCCAACATTAATCGCCACTTACGATGCATGCAGTTGGTGACAGCAGGTGTATTCTTTTCTCGATCCCCGACCTGCAGGGGTGTTTATTATCTTTAATAAACATGGATCAAATGTCTTTAACATAAACACAACCACCTTAATAACAATGAGAACTCAAGTCAAGACGGCTGACATGTAGATTTCTAGGACAGGACTAACTTGATTGATAACTTTTCATGGATAACGAAGATGTCTAGGGTCATAGTATTTAGCCAGTATCATGCTGTAATGAAAATTTGTTCAATGAGTTACCTTGGTCCTTTCAACTCTCAAGATTACAGGACTCGGTATTTGATTATCTAATCTTAAAATCGTTTGTTTACTTATCTAAAGGTCCTTAAGTCATAGAAAAAGCTTCAGTTGGGTGCAGATTCCAAAACAAGTTCAACTAGGTAGCATTTTGCCGCTATTAACAATTTATTTATTAACGTAGCCTTAACATATTTCCAGATTTAACAAGATGAGTACAATTGTACTCCCGCATGTTTGTGAGTTATAGTTAAACATGTAAAATGTTAGTATCTGCATCTCCGAGTATTAATTTCAAATACAATCGAGATCAGGGGGGATACTTATGAATGTCTGGTTTCATATAATTTAATCAAGAAGCGTTATGAAATATAATTTTATTGCGTCGGAGTCTGTATCATATGGTATAATAGAAATATTGCAATATGACTCATTGCAACAGGCCCCTCATACATCGGGTAATGAACATTATTTAAATCTGATGACAGTCAAAAGATATCCATCACAGCTCATATGTTTTTATGCAAGAACATCTGACCTATCTATAAAAGCTATTTTTGTCAAGGATATTTATAACAAAACATTGCTATATTTAAGACGCAAAACCAAGATCCATGAGGAACCAATATATGAAATATAAGAAAAGTCTGCCAAGTACATCTTGAGAATGAGTGATTAACTTTTACTGCCCATTTCAAAGATGACTTGAAGCTTTATACACCACTGAACAAAGTTTTTCAAAATGGCGGCCGTGGCGGCCATATTGGATTTCTGATCGAACCGAAAAATAACAACACTTTGTCAGGACCAACAGTCGATCATTCCTACAAAGTTTTAGTTCAATCGGCTCAGCGGAACTTGATTTTAAGTTTGATTTTTTTTTTCAAAATTGCGGCCGTGGCGGCCATATTGGATTTCTTATCGACCCGAAAAATAACAACACTTTGTCAGGACCATGAGTCGATCATTCCTACAAAGTTTCAGTTTAATCGGCCCAGTGGACCTTGATTTTAAGTTTGCTTTTTTTTTCAAAATGGCGGCCATATTGGATTTCTGATCGGCCCAAAATATAACAACACTTCGACCATGAGTCGCTCTTTCCTATTAAGTTTCAGTTTAATCGGCCAAGTAGAACTTGACTTAAGTTTGAAATAGTTTTTCAAAATGGCGGCCGTGGCGGCAATATTGAATTTCTGATCGACCCGAAAAATAACAACACTTTGTCAGGACCATAAGTTGATCATTCCTACCAAGTTTCAGTTCAATCGGCCCAGCAGAATTCGACTTTAAGTTTGATTTTTATTTCAAAATGGCGGCCGTGGCGGCCATATTGGATTTTTGATCGACCCGAAAAATAACAACACTTGCTCAGGGAGATGTCAGTAACCTTCCCAAGAGATATTAATGAAATCCCTTTGCCAGCTTAAGTTGAAAATGTAAAATGTTAACGGACGACGCACGACGGACGACGACGGACGAAGACGGATAGCAATAGGTCACTTGAGCTAAAGCTCAGGTGACCTAAAAAACAACTCCTAAAGCGATGTAATTACCGCGTCAGACTCGGATGTTTAGGTTGTCATTTGGTAATACCACCATCATTAAAATGTATATCTTGTCATCTACGAGGTCCTGATTGCAACCACAAAATTTGTTCATAAACTTCATATAAATTTGTCCGTTAGAAGTCGACATTTATGACAAAAGTCATAATATCTGGAGCAATCTCTTGAAAAAGAACATACCAACGTAAACAGGACACCTGCTATAAAATAAAAGATAAAAATGTTCGACCAACTGTACCTTACTTTGTATTCATACTTGTTAATGCGAGACCGACTTGACTGAAATTTAATTAACACAATCTGAG